TGCTCCCACAGGAAACAGAACAGCTGTGGGGCAGACCGCGGAAAGCCCGGGAGGTTGGGACTCCGACTCTGCTTTGAGTGAGGAGAACGAGGGCAGGAGGCGCTGCGCGGACGTTCCGGGAGCGAGTGGAGCCTGCCGCACCAGGGTGACCCTGAGCCTGGACCAGCCGATCTGCGAGATGCACGCCGTCAAGGACTTGGAGGAGGAAGCCCCAGTCCGCAGCGACAGCGAGACGTCAGCCAGTGTGTCAGGTCTGCTGCGGGGGTTTCTCCGGAAAGAGGGCTGGGCTGAGGGGATGGGTTAAGTGGTCAAGCACTCTAAAGCGGGGTGGGCCTGCTGTGGGAACACTTAGTTCTGGCCAAGTTTCCCAAGTTCTGCACGTTGGCGCGCACTACCCCAAGTCTTTAGCAACCGAGCTTCTTATAGCCAGGAGTCCTGGTGCCATGTTTCCTGCACCCTGCACCCAGAGCGTGGAGTTCATCTGCAGTATCCATTTAAAAATCTCTACAATTAGCAAAGGAGGACCAGGGAACTAAGGTAGATCATAACTTTTCCCTGGCCCAGCCGTTTAAGGGAAGACAGGACTTCAGGTCCTGTGACAGCATAAGAATAAGTCTTTGGACGGCTTAAATTTCTTCAGCCCAGGACTGATAGAGCAGCGTTAGGCTAAGCACCTAGGAGCTAAAAACAAAACAAGCAATTACCTGAGACAGAGGATGGTGGGGAAGTGTGATCCAGGTCGTCCCTCAAGAGTCCAGCCTGTTTATCAACTAATGGATGCATTCCTTGATCTGAAAGCCCTGCAGCTGGCTTCTTTTGGGTACCTTCTGCTGTAGGCCTCACACTGGCTCAAATCCGGCCACTCCTTTGACCTCTCTGCTTTTGCGCTGCAGGGACTAGAAGAGGCTGGAGAAGAGGGTTCGGACCAGGCAGAAATGAGGGTCTTCACTACCCTTTATTTATTGCCAAGATGAGGGACGCAAGTGTACCCCCAGGCCTTGCTGCTGCACCCTGTTGCCATATCCCTGACAGCAATCTGGGCTTATGGAATGAGGACTATATGCCTCTGACATCAAGATCTGCGCCCTCCCCCCATCTTCCTCTTTCATGTAGCCAACGGATGTGTTTGTGTGGGTGTGCAGGGGTGTACCGCCTGGAGCTGAGAAATTGACATGTAATGTAGAAAGCCAGGATTCAGAACTGAGTGGGGGGAAAAAACAAACTTGTGGATACTCTGGGGCGAAGTATCCTACATTGCTGCAGGGAATCTGGGGCCTCGGGGAGAGTTGTTCCCCTACTGCTGTGGCATGCTCCTAAAGAGATACGGATTTGAGAAGCGAAGGGAACAGAGTTCTGAAACAGAACCCTCTGGAACTTCACCTCCCCTCTTAGTAGACTCAAAGCGTGATCCTCTTCCCAGTCCTCCCCGAGAAAACACTACAATAGAGACCTACCTGCATCTCTGCGAGACTGACAGGTTCTTGCTTTTCCTTCCTATCGGATTCCGCAGGCGACCACAGCCCAAGAGTTGAGGACGATGGTGTTAGTACCGGAGGTGCACGCGTGCCTGGGTTGTGCAGCTCAGCCGGCAGCGGAGCTAGCGGCGCTCCGGCAGGCAGCATGGAGGAAGAGGAAGAGCCCGCAGCCCCCAAGCCTCGAAAGAAACGTTCTAGGGCAGCCTTCTCGCATGCCCAGGTTTTCGAGTTGGAGCGCCGTTTTAACCATCAGCGCTACCTCTCTGGGCCAGAGCGTGCAGACCTGGCGGCGTCCCTAAAGCTCACCGAGACGCAGGTCAAAATCTGGTTTCAGAATCGTCGATACAAGACCAAACGCAGACAGATGGCCGCAGACCTGCTGGCCTCGGCGCCCGCCGCCAAGAAAGTGGCAGTAAAAGTGCTGGTGCGTGACGACCAAAGACAGTATCTGCCGGGAGAGGTGTTGAGGCCCCCCTCTCTTCTGCCACTGCAGCCCTCCTACTACTACCCTTACTACTGCCTCCCGGGCTGGGCGCTGTCCACATGCGCAGCCGCCGCTGGTACCCAGTGAACCGCTTGCAGAGAGGCAGCGGATGATTACTGTGCCCCAGTTTGCACCCCCGTGGACAGGTGTAGAGACAGTACTCAGTGTGGGAGAGCTCTTCCGGTGTGTGGGGGGAGGGGGCTCAGGTGCAGAACGAAATCCTGCTGGAGTTCCTCTATCCAGGGCGACCTGGCAGCGGAACTGAGACTGCCCAGAGAAGGGGCTTTATTCTGATTTGAACAGATGCGCCCGATGACCCCTGGCACCCTGCACATCCGTCACCTCTCTGCAAGCCCTGGGACGCTATTTATTATCACAGCAACGTTGGATTTGGATTGTGTCTGTCAGGGTATGGCGTTTGCCCAGAGCAGAGATGACTCCTGGAGACCCCATAGCCCGAACCCTCAGAATCTCGGGTCGGCCGGGCGCTTCGTGCGCGCTAAGCCACACTAGTTCATGGTATCCATGCTACCGATCTGTATCTACATATCTTTAATTTTTGGAAATTACATTTGTGACAAAGGAGTGCAGAATCCTGACAGCTCCAGGCCAGGAGTTGATTTGAACTTCGAAGGGTTTGATTTTGGGGACCTCCACTCCACCCCTCCTGGATGCTGAATTTAAGAAAGGGAGACTTCAAGCGGCTGGGTAGGGATCCCCTATCCTTTTCCTTTCACAGAAGTTCAGGGCCACACCCAAAGGGAGAGTGCTTAGGGCCCCTAGAGAGGCCCGTTGACGGGAAAGCCCCCTTTCAGAAACCTGTCTTTATTTCTTTCTATTTTTTTTTCAAACAAGGTTGAGACTTGTAGCACTTTTCGGTTGTTTGTATTCAAATAACGATTATTTTTGTATTCAATGTGAATATCCCTGGCCTGCATTTCCGTGGCTTCCTCCACCTTCTCCTGTCCCTCAGCTTCAGCCCCCACACCTTCTGTGCCTAGCTTGTTTCTGAGACTATCTGTCTCATCAGCCTCGCAGCTTTTCGCCTCTTTCAGGGCACTGTGCACTCAACTAGAGTTATCTTTAAAAGATTTGTGAATTTTGGAAACTCTATTCGCTGTATTTTTCTTTAATTTATAAACGTTTAGTTCAACGTGCCTGACCCGGGCTTTGTTTTCTCTGAAATTCCCTTGGTGTGTTTTTGGGACAAGGCATTGAAGGCGGGTGGGAGGCAACGGAGGAGCATTCTTCACCTCACTTTTCTATATATGAGACAATACTCCGGTAACTAATCCACTGTCCTCAACAGCCTTGCTTAAAACTCCGGAATCACAACTTTGGGGCGTGGAAGAATCCCACTGAATCTTAAAACAAATGACTGAGATTCCTTGTTTTCTTCAGCCCTAGGGCCTCAAATCTTGGAGGTGTATGGGATGATTGAACCCATAGCCAATTTCCAACTGAAATCTGCAGATTCTTCTCCACCTTACCGCTTTCGATTTTGTCAATGTTTCTAAGTGACTCGATCTTTTTAGGAATGGTCTGGAAAACACACACACACACACACACACACACACACACACACACACACACACACACAACTTTCTCTAAAATTCTAAACCTTCTATTTGGGGAGAGTCAAGTGCCAATAATGTTCCTTCAGGGGAGAGTATCCTGCTTATTTTCCGCCTACAGGTGCGAATTTTTATTCTATCTAAAAATGTTTGCAAGCACTTCTGCTCCCTCATGACCTGGCATCATTTGATCTGCACAGGAACCCACGGCCAGTGGAAGGTGAGATAGGCCATGTGTAGGAGTGGAGAAGAACACGCTCTGGGCATGCAAGACGCAAGACTTCCCCCAGAATACCAACTATTCTTCCTGAGCTTATTGCCTGGCTAACAAGGAAGAGTTAATGCCAATAGTGCCATATCCCTAACTCCTGGCCTGGAACCGCCAAAACCGGAGCCTAGGTTTGTTTCAACTCACCTATTGTAGAAAGGCTGGTTTGTCTTACTGCCATTCCTGGAAATCTTTCTCAGCTTTCTGGCCTCCAGTTCTTAGGGTACTAAAGGCCCAGGCAAGAAAGCTGCCGCCGCCTGAGTCGGCCTAGGCCGAACTAGGCGACTGGCGCTTAACAGTGCGAGTTCAGCGAAAGAGCTAAGACAAAACCCCAAGGCTGTGCTCATTTTAGTGCTCTCTCTAACCCGGTTACCAGACCTTTGGTTCCCTAGATCACTTTATTTCTATTTTTAAAAACATTTTAAAATTCAGAGTTGATTTTGTAAATTATCGTGATGCATTCTCTTTGAAGTTTGGAGCTTCTCCGTTGTTGCTGGTGGGTACACATTCCCTTTGCCCAAAGAGTGTTAGAATTCAGGGTGTTCTTGAAGGGGAGGTAGGTGTCTGCCCCTCTGGGAATGATTATTGTTTTCCATGCTTTCTGAGGAGGTGGCTTGTGTTCAATCCCTGAGGGTTCGGGGTCAGAGCTAGAGTCTTTAGTGAAAGGAAAGGAAAAGATATCCAAGGCCACAGCCTCGCAGCTTTTCCCGCCCACTCCCCCATTTTTAGCGGCGGGTGGTGTGCTTTTCTGCTCCTCTCATTGCTGGGCTCAGCCTGGGAGAGCTGCTAGCGCAGCTATCTGAAGCTGTCCTGGGAAAAAGTACCCAGGTGAATTCGAATTGCTAAGTATGTGGCAGCTCCTGGCTTGCATGGTAAGAACACCGGGGCTGCAACTTACCTTTATGGGTCCAGCTCAACCTACCAGGATTCCAGTCTCAAATATGACCCTGAATTTATGCACTCCCGTTGGAAATACACAATATTCCCATATTCACTTACCTGCTTTTTTTCAACAATCCATCCTTTCCTTCTTCCTGTCTTTTCTTTTCCCTTCCTTTCTTTTTGTAAAATCAAAAACCTGCTCTCTTGCCACACACACACATAGATACACACCCTGATCCCTGATGAAGGGACTCTTGGTTTATATACTTCCCATTGGCGCCTGGACACCATCTCCCAGAGAAGTCAAAATGCAGCCTGTGTCCGGGGTCCTTTCCCACTTCACCTTTCAGTACATTTGGCACTTAATAAAGCTGAGCTTGTGGGCATTAGGTTCTAACTCCCTGACACACACACCCCCCCCCCGCCCCACCATACACACAGATGATTAAACCAAAGAGAGGCAAATAAGATTTAAAATGGGTTCGGAGTGTGCTTTGACCTGCATTGAAATCATTCTGGCCAGCAATACATTTTTGCTGTGTGTGTGTGTGTGTGTGTGTGTGTGTGTGAGAGAGAGAGAGAGAGAGAGAGAGGATTTGCTTATCCCAAGTGTGTCCCATTAGGTTTGTGGGCCTCTCAGATCTTTGGAAAGTATCTTGGCTGAGTATTGACAGAGATGGGGGAGTTGAGGTTCTGTTCCATTTTCAAAAGATCAATGGCTTTCTGCACTGATGACTCCTCCATACAGCTCTCCAACGCTGAGAAAGTAGGCAGATGATGGTGAATATGACTTTCTGAGAGGCAGTCCAAAATCATCCCAAACACAATGTCCCAGTGCCTCTGAACAGCAGCCACTAATGCCAGTATCTGAAATCAGAATAAATGCTGGAGACAGGGCTGACTGGAGTGTGGCATCTGGGGACATCAGAGGAGTAGGACATGCTTTCTAGTCTTGCTTACAGGAATTGTTCTGATTCTTTCTCTTGGAGAGAGGGAGTCTACCTCAAGCTGTGAATACTGCCTGGCAGAGAAAGTCCAAGGATCCCAGAGAGACAACCCTCAGTCCAGACCTGCAGACATCCCACCAGGCCCAGGCCCAATGTTTCTAACTTTCTAACCAGCTGTAGCCAGAGCTTAGAACTCCACAGGGTCCATTCTGGCAACACACTGTCCTCAAAACAAGTTTCTGTCTGGGCCTCAGAACAAAACATGTAATCTGGCAGCTACCTGAAAAGTTTGCAGAATTCAACTTGCTTGCACAAAGTTTCCTGCCCTGCTTCATGAAAACAACCCAGTGAGTCTAGGATGTGGGGGAAATCAGAGAGTACTGCCCTCAACCTGAAAACTGGCAGAGGAGCTCTCAAGGGCCCCCAAGGAGGACTAAGGGTATTCCAGACAGCGGGAATCTTTAAAGAAAGTAGAGTAGACCTGTTTGGGGAGCCAGATACCATGTGGGGGGGCGGGGGTCCTGGGATTTAATCCTAGGCAACCACACAACCTTGCCAACTTTCCTAACTGGGAATAGCACCAGCACCGAGCTGCATGGGGATGGCAAGAATCAGCAAACACTTCAAGGAACTGAGTACCCGAAGTACAAGCCACTGCTTCCCAAGGAAGCACCAGCAGAGGCTCCTAAAGATGACAACTCAAACAATACTCAGCAATAATAGTGATGGTAACAATAAACATAGCAATTTAAAAACATTCCTTACCCTGGAACATTACACCAGCACTCCCCATCCCTTCCTGCCGGGGTTTACAGGAGCTGCAGGTTTAGGTAGGATGTCTGATGAACAGGAGTTGAAGGCAGCAGGAGGAAAGATGCCATTCTCACTATCACAGGCTGGTGAGACGTGGAGGGCCAATCTTTCAGAATCCAGATGTTGCAGAAAATGTTATTTGGCTGCAGAGTAGCTCAGAAAAGTATAGTCACTTTGAAAACCATTAAGGAATGTACAACTGGGTATGATTACTTCTGTATTGCTGGCATTGTTATTGACTCTAGATAAGCAAACATGGTCTCCTGCACCTTCAGGGGAGTCCAAGTATCCTGTGGCCTACCAAGCATAGGGTCGACTTGTTAGAAATTACAAATAGCCTAATTAATTTTTGGTCTCCTAATATAAATGTTTGAAAAATGAGGGAGGGGAAGATTAGGAAAGAAAAAATCTTTCTTTTAAACAAATGGTTACATCATCTAATAAATTGTTTTTCCTCCTGTTGTACACATAGGGTTGGCTGGCTGTTCGAGTCGTTAAAAATACATTTATGAGATACTGATTCCTGAGTCCCGGTAAACAGGGGTGGTTCCGTGTAGAATACAAGTTTAAGTTGAATGATGAAAATTTTCTCAGACTTGCGAAGTGTATGCCTTACGCTGACCCT